TTTGTGTATTTATTTTTATTATTATCATTATCATTATTATTATTATTTTTTGTAAGCAAATTTTTTTAAACGCAAATGTATTATTATTATTATTATTATTATATATATATATATATATATATATATATATATATATATATATATATATATATATATACTATGAAAAAAAAAGAAAAAAAATAAACGTCTGTGTAATAAAATGATTCATCAAATGTTTTTTTTTTCTTTTTTTGGTAAATTTAATAAATATGGCGGTGCATCCTAATAATAATAATAATAATAACAATTATGTTTTGATGACGTGTTATAGTAAAAAAACAAAATGGTAATTAGGGGTGTTTCGCCTCAATCTCTTTCTCTCTCTCTCTCTTTCCTTCTTTCTTTTCTCTCTCTCTCTCTTTCTTTCTCTCTTTTCTTTCTTTCTCTTTTCTTCTTTCTTTTTTCCCTCCTTTTTTTCTCTTTCCTTCTTTCTTTTCTCTCTCTCTCTCTCTCTCTCTCTCTCTCTCTCTCTCACACACACACTTGGTAAATAAATAAAAAGCCATATTGTTTTTTTTTTTTTGAATGGGTACCGATCGATGAGTAGTAAGACGATGATGATGATGATAATGATGATGATAATGATAATGATAAGAAAGAAGAGAATGTGTAGACGACGCACAAATTGAACGCGCACAATTTTCATTTAAAAAAAAAATAATAATAATAATAATAATCACGAACCGGACCAATGTTATCATCATCATCGTCGTCGTCGTCGTTGTTATAATTAATATAATAATAATTATTATTATTATTACTGATATACATCCGAGCCGTCGTATTAAGTTAAAAAAAAATCTAGTCATAGATAAGTTATCACTCTCAATTCTCATTCTCCCCCTCCCCCCGTTTCGCTCCTTTTTCTCTTTATTCCCCTTCTATCTCTCCTACCTTTCCTCCTCCCCTCTCACATAAAAAAAGTCGTTAAAATGATAATGATAATGATTATTTTAAATAGTGATGTTTCCGATTTGGTGAAGAAATGAAGGAATGAAGGAAGGAAGGATGGAAGGAGAATTTTAGGAAGTAAGGCCCTGGAGAAAATCTTGTTTAAACCTATATAAAACTTCAGAATTCTGGAGAAAATAATAATAGTAATAATAATAATAATAAAAAGAAATTTTTCGTCATCTTTTTTATTATTTAAAAAGATCGTAAGACAGAAAATTTTTTTTATATTTCCGAATAAGTAAAAAAATTAATTAATTATTTTATGACAACAATATGGCGGCGTAAATTAAATGAGTTAATTAATGACGTCATCCACCCCCGTTTGCTACGATGCGCGCTCTATGTTTAAATATTATAATTAATTACATTATTTAGGGTAGTCATTTTGACAAAACAAAAAAAAAAAAATTTTTTTTGTTTTTCCGGTATAATTTAATTTTAATGTTTATAATAATAATAATAATATATTTTGTTTTTCATTAATAATTTAAATCATTTATATTGTTTACATTAATATTATGTCGATGATAATAATAATGATAATGATAAAAAATTGTAAAATCATAAAAAAAAATTAAAAAAAATATTTTGTGTACTGAACTTGGCGTAAATTTTTTTAGGTACGCCTAGTAAAATGATATAATTTTTCCTCAAAATAATTTCAATACTTAATTTTCCAACTATTTCCCCCGTACGCTCCATATTTTTTGACATTACGTAAATTCTAATTATAATTATTATTATTGACATTAATTCTTTTTTTTTTTTTTTAGTTAACCCAGGAGAAGTACATTTCGTACTTACCTCCCCGCCTGGTAGCAGGAAGAATGTTGGACTCAGCCGAAGCCACTACCCAACTAAAACTCCTGGATGTGCTTTCCTGCGCTTTTTTTACCGGGAAGGAGGGGCGATCGCAAGATTCCTCGTGCGTTTTGTACGACATTTGCGGGGGTAGAAACGTTCAATGTGTCAAACCTCATTCGTCAGACATAAGATCGATAAGGTTTTCACCGAGCGTTTATTACCTATTGACCAGAGGATACGATAACAAACTCGTCTTGAAGGATTTACAAGGAAGTATTATTATTAATAACGTCGTGACAATAATGATGAATGATGACGTCATTAATCGGTTTGTTTTTTTTGTCTCCAGGGGATTTGACGTTGCCGCTTCCCAGCGTCGTCGTCGCCGCTCATCACCAAGACAAAGTTATTCCTGGAAGGTGGCATCCGACAGAATTTTCATTTTTGAGCACGAGCGCCGACAAGACGTGTACTCTGTGTGGGCTTTACTCTCACCATTTGAAACCACCGTAAAACACCGAGCGTTAGGATTTGGCGAATATGAAATAATGTTTTCTCTCTCTCTCTCTCTCTCTCCTCACGTGAGCTCTCTTAAATTTGTAAATATTATTATTATTATCATCATTCTCAGGCTGTTGTACTCACCGTCATAGTATTTCCAGAACTTGAAAGTAATTTTAAAAAGAAAAGAGCATCGTAATATCATTATCACCATTTCAGTCAGAAATTTCTAGAATTATTTTTCTTATTATCGGAAAAGTGTCATCGCAACTAACCGAACGAACGCTTTTAGCGCTTTTCGGCAATAAAATATAAATGAAAGACGAAGAATTGGAGGAAATCGTTAGCTAGAGCATGAAAAAGAGAAAAAGGTCGGAAAAACCGGGAGGGAAAAAAAAACGGGAACGTGTTCGTATTTATATACATAAATTTGTAAATTTTTTCGTTAGGTTGTCACACGGATCGAACGCCAGAACGCATCGAACGTCGTCGCGCGCGGAATCCAAAAGTTTTTCTATTTTATTTTTTATGTTTCGTTTTCAGCAGTTATTATCACAAAAAAAAATGAGGTAGTGGCAGGGGAGTAGTGGGGGCCGGGAGTTAGTGGCGTGCTCCTGTAATCCAGCTACTTGGAGGCCGGGTGCCGCAGATGACTCTGATCGTGTAATTCGGATCCTACTTGTTGCTCATTGTTTTAAAACGGTCGGCGGGAGCACCTCGGGGTCCCACCTAGTGTTTTCGTCGGCCAACAGGGTAATTAGAGATCATTTTTCTCATTCAAGAATCATAACATATAATTTGTCGGTAGGATAGGATATTATTTGTAGGTAGTCCCTTAGGGCACCAAGGAACCATAAAACATACTGGCAAAAACAGTGAAAAAAAAAAAAAATCCTTACCAATGAATATGGATAAATCAAGAACTCCTGCTATATCCTTTATTAATGAAGACAAAATCTGCGTAGGCAAAAAAAAAACCTGGACATTTAGAGGATTTGTTACTTTAGGAAAAAGAACAATGAACGACGGGAAAAATACTATTATAACATATTTTGCCATATTTTTAGTGTGAAATTCTATTTTAATTTTAATTTGAAGGTAGAAATAGCTCGGGGGGTCTTCGTGCGGGACGCTGGCCATTAGGGGTACGCCCTTTCGTTGGGGAACCGAAACTGGTAGGATGGGGGGAACCTCCGCGTGCCAGCCGGGAACGAACGGCTCCGCCAGTAGCTCTCGGTAGGCATGGGGAAGTTTCTCCAAATTAATTTAAACAGGTGCAGGGGGCTCAGGACCTTTTGCTAAACTTGATAGGGACGTGGAGCATCGAGGTCGCGATGATCTTGGAGCCTTACGTCTTTCCGTCAGGGGGAGGGGGTCGTCGCGCCGGTACTCGGTTCGCATCCGAGGTCGGCGTGGCCGCGATACTATTCTCGAGCTCGGTCAAAACGCCGAGGCCTCGAGAGCTGTCCCGGGGAGAGGGTTTCGTTCTGGTGGGATGGGGAGACACGGTACTGGCGTCGGTTTACGCGTCGAGCGCAAGCGGCCGAAATACTGGTGGACGGACGAGATAGGGTCGGTTCGGGGATAGGAAACGGGAACTCCTCCGCCGTGGAGGACATTACAAAGAAATCGTGACCAACGCAATTTTGCGTTTTTACTCTATGGTAAGTAGGTAGAACGCGGATGAAACAACAGAAAATTTTTATAAACTTTTTACATTTGTCTTTACTAATTGTTATTATTTTTTTTTTCTTTCATTTAGGAAAGGACCAGTAAAGACGAGCCGGTACATTCAGTAGTGACAGTATCAGACAGCGAAACAAGATGA